CTAAAAATACTCCAAAAGTCTACATCTTTCTTGGTCCAATAGCTGAGCAATAAATATAACAGAAAAAAAAAATCGCTCCCCTTTGTATTTTGCCAAATTCATACCGGTCTTGTCTAAAACAAAGAAACATCATAGTGATTTAGAAAATTTAAAATTTTAATATTACTTTAAATTACAATGTATTTTCCTGATCAGTTTATCTTTAACAATGATTCAAATAATTATAGTTTTAAAAATAAATTTACTATATTTAACTGAATTTCCCCTCCACTCAACTCATGGCCAGCAATGTCATCAGCTTAAGCCCAGATCTCCTAGACCACTTGGCTGGTTCCACAAACTAATTTAATGACACTAAGGGAAAAGGGAACGGGTTACCAGAGAGAATGCTTTGGTTTTAACTAACATTTCATTCAGTGGAATGGGAAAAAAAATGTGGGAAAATGCAGAAAGTATATAAACTTTGAATAAAGATTACCATCTTTGAAAGCTTTTTTTTTATGTCTATTAAGAACCTAGAATAAAAAAGATACTAAGTCCCCTTCTTTCTAACTTAGCAAGAACACCTTTACACATTCTTGATCCTGTCTCTGTTCTCAAATAGTTCTTCCGAATATTTTTAAAGAGTACGGACACAAAGTAAACATTGCTTCCAAGATCCAAATTCTATCAGATTATTATATGTGTTTGCTTCATCAGTCATTTTTTAATGTCAGCTAAAAGGCATATCTGAATGATGGACACAAGAAAGAGCATTTCAGTTCAAGCACTGCCACAGCCCCACAATGGCTAAACCAAAGTAGGAAAAGGTAGCTTTTATACTTCCAGATATTTTATTGACAATGATTGGAAGGAACACAACTTTTATAGCTTCAAATGTATTTCCAGTTCTCCAGAGAACACTACCACTGGGTAGAAACGAGAGGACAGCCCTTACAAAAGGGGGATTTCAGGGTGGAAAGATGGTAACTTCTTTCCAAATTTAAAGTTTATTTTTTTAACAAACTTTTATATTTGGAAACAGTTTTAGATTTTTTTAAGTGCAAAAATACACAGAGTTCCCATATACCCATACCCAGTTTTCCCTATTATTAACATCTTATACTACTAGCATGTTACATTTGTCAAAGTTGATGAGCTAATACTGACACATTATTATTAGCTAAATTTTATTCAATTTAGTTTTCTCAAATGTCCTTTTTCTGTTCCAGGATACTACATTACCTTTAATCATCATAGCTCCTTAGGTGGTGGGTTTCTTAAGACTTCCTTTATGTTGACCTGAGTTTTGAGGAGTACTGGCAAGGTATTTTGTTGAATGTCCCACCATTGGGATTTATCTGATGTTTTCCTCTTGGTTAGACTGGGGTTATGGCTTTAGAGGAAGAAGATCACAATGCTGCCCTTCTCATCACATCACACCAAGGGTACATACTATCAACATTACTTATCACTGTTGATGTTACCCTTCATCTCCTCACTGAGGTGCTGTTTGTCAAGTTTCTCCAATGTAAAATTGCACACACACACACACCCCTCTCCATACTGTCCTCTTGGGAAAGAAGTCACTATGTGTAGGCCACACTTAAGGAGAGAGGAGTGATGCCTCACTTCCTTGAGGACAGAGTATCTACAGAACTTGGACTTCTGCACCATGGATTTGTCCATTCTCCTCCATTTGTTCATTTAGTCAAATATATATCAGTATGGGCTCAGATATTTATTTTATACTTTACATTATTATCCAAAGCTATTTTCTTTACTTTGTTGTCCAGCGTTGGCCATTAGGCGTTCTTTCACATGGCTCCCTGGACCTTTGACGTGCACCCAAGTTGCAGGTTGTAGCTGCTGTTTGAGCATTTCCTTATTTTCTGGCCTTACAAGATGCTCCAGGCTCATCTTGTATATTTCTTGTCCCAGGTCCTACCTATTTCTCCAAGAAGCCCTGGTTTCTTTATTGGAGAATGGCCTTAGAAACCAAGATCGGGAATCTAATGTGTGTTCATGCTCCTAACCTTTTTAACTGACAAGCAAGGAAATACGTGTGTATGCAAACCCTTGGAAACACCATCTCTATACTTATTTCCATGTGCAACCATCCATAGCTACTAGTGTATTAAATATGAGTTCATAATGATGTCTCTAGTTCTAATCCATTTCCACGTGCATTTTTCTAGCCACTTCCCCTTCCTCATCTGTAACCTTGCACTTCAACAGTGAGACGGCTAGCTCCCACCATCTGCCATTCATTTACTCAATTGTTCAATTCTAGCATACAGGTATAGTGATACCAAAATTGCTAAACTGTAGACCCATGGGAAACAACTTTACCAACTTGCGGTATTGTGTGCAGTTTCCTTTGCCTTTAGTATTATAGATTCCACACATTTTTAAAGTTATTTAGGTCAGCGTCCTTTACCCCTACCCCCTTCAGGGAGGTGGTTTCACACACTTTCATATAATTAGATTGTTTAGTCACATTTTGTATTCCACCCTGGGTTCCTCTGACCTCCTAAGTGATTATTTATTTATATAGAATAAAACATGAGTTTATTCTGGACAAGGGGTGTGGTGGGGGTAAGAAGGGGAGAAGCCACTGATGGAACTTGAAGGGAAACGAACCAATTTAGAGGTTACTTAAGTTTCTGTCTAAAATAGGCTTAAAAGATAAATTTATTGAAAATTACCACAATTCATTTATTTTTTAAATGTATTGAAATCTTTGCATACAGTAAGGGACATAGTAAAGATCAAATGTCAGAAATATAGCTCTTTTTTACAATTAGACATGGATTTTTCTAGGAGCTTTCAGTAAGTTTATTCAATTTTCCTACTTGTAAAATAAGAATAAAAAGTTTCTCATCTAGGACTAAGAATTTATGATAGGTACACTGATAGTATTCTGCATCCAGAGGTAAAAATGTAACAACTATTTAAGTTTTAATTAAAGGAAATAAGCTCTACCCAGTTATATTTTTCACATAATTGTGAAATTTTATATTTTTACACAATTATATTCATAAAGCATTGCAACCCTGATCATTACTATTCACTCATATCACTAAGGAATTATTTCTGTCTAGCAATTTGAGATCCTTTGGGCATTTTAAAGTCCTTAAAGTATACAAAATTATCAGTATATACCTAGATTTATTCTCAAGCATGTGGGAGAATTTACAAAGGTTTGGTGGCTGTTCATGGAAGATAATCTTAAATAATATCCCCCCCCCCAAAAAAAAGGGGGGAGAAAAAACATATTTTGAGGATATAAAAAAAACACAAAACAACTTATTATCCTTGTACAACTGCATAAATGCCATGTCTGTACTAAAATATAACCACAAACTTCCAAGGATACAGTTTAAACTCCTGCTGTGATCATGCATTTTATTAAATCATCAGAATTTATCAAGAATCAATTCACCAAGTCAGCCTTTGCAGGAGCAAATTGTGCCCAAGGACCTCTTTAGTTTCTTATGGAAACCAGCATTTATTCATTCCCAGTCAACACTTTACATGTAATGCAATTCACAAGTCTACTCTCTTTGCAGTGAGCACCGAGCAGACAGACATGTTTGAGGCCATCAATGAGTATTTCTTCCCAATACTGTCAATAGTTTCTTATTCCCCATTATTCAATTCCAAAAATACTATCTGTGAATATAAAAACTACAATTTCCTAGTTAAGTATTCAGAGACAATATAGTTAAATCTTATTGAAAACCCATCCTTAATAAGCTCAAAACAACTTTGAAGTTACAATAAGAACACCTGTTTCTTTCCCCTCCTAGTCTCCCAAGGATATCCAATAAGTTATTCTACAAATAAATCACTATGCTTTTGTACTGATGTAAGTTTGTACCAACCCTGCAATTTCCCAAAGGCTGCCTCAGACTCCCGCAGAAATAAGACAGGAAGTGAACTCATTCCAAGCAGGGGCAGGAGACCAGAGCGGGAGGCAAGATTAGAGGCAAGGAATGGGATAATTAGAGCTCAAAGTCAAACTGATGCTTTAAAAAAATCTAAAAGGCTTTTTGGGGGGTGGTTGGAGAGAGATGTAAGCAGTTTACCGAGACCACTGTCTCCATGAGGGGAGTCCAATGCTACAAAAGAAGGCGCTTAAACAAGCTCACGGAGACCAATGTTCCCCAGCCTCGCTCTGCAGGAACTACCATATTGATGTGTAGTACGTTAGCACAAAGAAATAGTTAAAATAATGAGGGCTCTATAAAGTTTGATTTTAAAATTCTCATTCTCAAAATCCTGAACAACTGTTGGAGGAAGGGCAAAAAGAACAGAACAAATGGCTCCCTAACCTAAATACATCCCCTGGAAATCGATGCCTGTCAGTTTCTTCTCCCCACACTAAATCCAGGGTCTCCCGGGTTTCAAATACTACGATTCACGGCCAAGGTGAGTGTGCACTGTCAGCAGGACTGTCACACCCTCACAAACAGACCGTTTGAAGGCATGGGAGGTTCGCATATAAAGTCCAGGAGGCAGAGCTGCCCAGAGACAAGTGCCGTAAGCAAGTCACAAAGCAGAGCTGGCTCTGTTTGGAGGCACTTCACACTGACCCAGCTTGGCAGCAGTCCACTCCCTCAGGGGAATGCGGGAGCTCTGAGGAAGTCTGTACTCAGAGACACGTACCACTCCCATCCACAGCACTGGGAGTCGCCAGCAGAGATCTTAACAGAGGGTGAGGCTGGGGATGTAATCATGAGGCTTGCCTTTTAATTCTCCTAACTCAGAAATACGGGCACTTAATACAGTAAGCTCTTCACCCTGACTGAAGGGAAGTAATCCTATTAAGAGTTGAGCTTGCCTGGGAATTTACCTGCTTCGCTGTGGGTCTAAGGATTGGAGGCTGACTAGGCGATGCCACAGATGGAGAGGCAATCTTTGCAGAGTTGGTCCCCTGTCTGAGAGCGCTCCTGCAAAGGCTCATCTCCCAGCTCGGGAGATCAACAGGCAGGGGCTGCGGGGTACCCGACACCTACCTGCCACTCTGGTCTGAGGTCCATGTGACTGATCGCCCCTGGGGTTTGGTTCTGTACCGTATCCTTATGGCATGAGGAAAAGCCGTAGCTGTCTGAGCCCCTGTCTTCCTGATCTGCAAGCTCCACGTGTCAGTGTCAAACAGGAGTTCCCCACAGCCAGGAGCCAGGCTGCACCAAGCATAATAGTCTAACTGCTCCCTCCAACGATCTGCAGGCAGAGTCACAAGTTCACGTACAATCTGATTCCTGAGCTCAGAAACAACCGTGAGCTTGGGAGACCTTGTAAATTTTTCAATACCTGGCACAGCAGCAACATCCACCTCCTCAACCCTTAACACAGATAAATCACAGCAGTCCAACACCAGCAAAAAATCCTCACTCCCATGATTCCCTGTGTCACAGCAGTGCTTCGAGCTAGAAATCCCATAAGTCTGTTCCTGGTTGTCATGGTTACCATCTTTACCAGAAGTATCTCTTTCACCTTTACCACAAATTGCAAAATCACTGTATCCCATTTGAGACCAGGAGGTCCTTGTATCTGCCACAGGAACGTGGCAGGGTTCCAGCTTCCTAAATCTGCAGGCTTCATTTGACTCCGATCGGCAGGCTTCCTCGGTGGAACCACTCTTCTTCCTGGATCTGTTTCCAGACTCTAAGAAAAGCACTAAGGTGCCATCGATGATTTGACTTTCAAAATCCACATCTAAATCCAGTACATAATGCTTCACAAGTATGTGGCTGGTGTTGGCCATGAGAGGCAGGTCATCTCGAGAAGGGTCCAGCTTTATGTCCATGGTGTGGGCTGTTGAGAGCTTTGTTAAACTCTCAGAAGGGGCTTCCTATCTGCCTTACTCATTCGGAATTGTAAACGGCTGTCTGTCCAAAAAAACCACACAAAACACCCTGATTCACAAATTATGGTTCCACAGCCTTCAGTCCCCTGCCAAAGAAGAAAAAAACAATTAGACAAAATTCCGAGACCCTAAATGCTCCTGTAGCCACTGCTCCTTCAAAATGACTACCTTCTTCAATGATCCCCCAATGTGGTAGAAGCTCATGGCAAGCAGGCCGATGAATCTTTGTGACTGGCATCAAAGAAAGCTGCATTATGGGTTTCTAAAAATATTCCAATTACCAATGGAATGGAAGGGGCTTCCACAGAGCCAGAAGAATCCTGCTCCTGACTTGAATAGTCCTTGTTTTGTAATAAAAGAGCAATTGTTATGCAAAAGCATAACTGAGCATCACTGTACCTCTTGTTTTAAAATATATTAAATGTATCATTTCTAATTTTGTGCATCAAAAGATAAGTGATTGTTTCTCTGCTGTGATTCTAAGTAACAAATGTGAATGAAGGCTAAATGGCCTCATACATTTTATTCTTTGAGAGTAATAATTTAATACATATAATGCAACTCCAGGGATTAATGTACTTTTCACATTAGGACCACTCTCATATCAGCACTTCCAGTAAATTACAGGAAAATGAGCCAATTTACCAGGAGTGCATTCTAAGTATTCCTCTGAGATTGTTCATGGAGATTTTTCAAATTTATAGTTAAATACTCAAGGTATATCATTACATCTTAATAGCTGAAAACCCATTAACATTCTGGAGAATAGCCTTCTTGTGGCAAACAAAAAGGTCTTCTCATTTGAAAAAAAAGTATGCAAATACCTATAAAAAAGGAAGGAGAGAAATTAAAATGTAGAAACAGATGTTGCAATAAAATGCCCAAGTTCTTCATAAAAGTTCTGAATCAAAATGTATTCTTACTTTATTATAGCAATCCAGTTAAAAAATTTGAAATTATTTCAGTCCCCGTTGTGTACCTAATTTGTTTCAGCATATGCTGTTTATTATTATTCTTTTACCAAAAATGGAAAAATAAGTAAAAACTCTAGCAGAGTAGGTATATTTAAAATAATTTTTGTATTTGTAAATATCAGGAGGTATTTTTTTTATCAACTACAAAAATTACTTGCTTGACTTTTCAAGTAAAATTGAGCCTTGCCTTGTTTATTCTGTTTAACTCCTCCTCACTTCCCTTCTGACCTTCATGTCTACTAGACTCTTATTTCCCTTCCCTCCAGAATCTCATTCCAGCAATCAACGCCTTTGACTTTTCATTGTCCACCTCTCCACAGGCTATTCCCTCATGAAAATCTCGCCCAGCCTTAAAAAATCTGGCTTCCTGCAGCCTTGCACAATCTGTTTTCATGCGATTTTTCCGGTCATGGAGACCACACTTCTTTTGCATCCTTGACCTGTAGCCAAGGGCCTGCTCAACACAGTGCTCCCTAAAGAGGATCCCACACCTCCTTGCTTTCTGGACTAAGCAATGTGCCATAACTGGAGTGCTCCTGGCTTCCACCTCCCATATCCACCTGCCAAATTCTATTCTCCCTCCACAACCAGTTCAAGTGCAATCCCCTCCCAAAACCCCACCCTGCTCCCTGCTATTCCTCTCCCTACCAAACTGTACATATTAACATACATTTTGACTTTTAAGAGTAATAGAAATTGAGAGAAATCAGAGATGCAAAGAAAAATCTGAGATTACTTCATGGAAAAGCTGGTACTTCCCTTGGTCCTGAAAAGTCAATAGGCAAAGGAAGTAGGCCAGAGTGTTTTTTCTTTGCTTCATGAAAGCGACTGAACTTGTGATCCAAAGAATAATAATCTATAATAATAAAAGCGTAATATGCAAGTCGACCGAACGGCCAAACAGCAGAACGACTGTCTGGATGACCACACTATGACATGCACTGGCACCAGGCCAGCCAAGGCAGGTGCAATGCGATTGGTCAGGAGCCCCGCCATCGCCCCATGATCGCCCCGCAGAAGGAGGCCCAGACCCCTGGCCGGTGCTGCTGCGGTGGGTGGGCTGGGCCTCCCTCTGCTGGGCCATCGATCACGGGGCTCCAGGCCAGGCTGAGGGACCCCCTTGCCCCCGAGTGCACCGGGCCTCTAGCCTTCAATAAAGCCATTGGCTATGTCTATGTAATGAAAAACATGGATGTTAAAAATTCATCCTGCTGGTATTTGGGGCTGCTACCATGTAGTATTTTGTTGATTGAACTCTTTAAAAAATGTTCAATAAAGTAGAAATCCTGAATACACACACACACACACACACATACACACACACATACACACACAAACACAAAAGGAAAATCTGAATCAGCTGAGATAGGATTAACTTAGTAGCTATCTAAACTATCATATTTACAGAAGTATAGTTTAGCATTTGTAATAGTACTGACATAACCATTCATTGTTCAACCCTAACAGATTCCTTCATTTATTTCTGAAAATTAATATAACTTAAGAATAAAATATATTCCATAGAGCAGTTTTCACCACTCTGTCCCTAGTGGCAAAGAACAAGCCTACCTTTGAGTTCTATCTATCCATGCCTGTCAACATCGTCTTGTTTGCCATCCTAACTGGCAATCCTTTGGTCCTCTTCAGTGGATTCTTGATTATACTCCCCATAGATGCAATTCTAAATCTTTTCTTCTTTTAATTTTCCCATTCCATGCCTGCTGAATCATTCTCAGATAATTATCTGGCCTCCTACTTTACTGAGATGATTTTGAATCTCTGACGCTCCATCATGCCTCAAAGATCTCTAGTTCTGCACAACTATTGCTTTCTGCTGATTCAGAGGAAACAATAGCCCTTCTCACCAAAGCTAGTTCCCCTCCCCTGGAATCCCAGCTTTTGGGGTGTGAGAGGGCCAAATAAATAGCACTCTTCTTCACCTTCCGAATTCTAATCATACTAAGAAATGAGATAAGGAGAGAGACCAAAATATCCCAAAATATCACCAGGTTTACTGATGAAGGCTAAACTAAGTGATATGGTTTAGCGTGGGGGACAGAGACACCTGAAAACCGAAGCCCCAAATTCGATAGATTTACCCGTAGGGTCTTGGGCAATGCTGGCTCAGGTCAAAGCTCCCAGACAAGAGGTACCCTCTCGGTAAGGCAGTGGGAGAAGTAAGGACAACAGCCCTCTGTGGTTAGGATTGATGTCCAAAAGCAAATTTAAGGAGCTGAGCTGAGCAGAGCACACCCAGTTCCTTCTTCCCAAATTTACCAGAATGTCGCTCTACGTCCTTGCAGGTAGAAGTGACCAAGGAATGGTACAGTAATGAAGAAGAAAACAAGAAAGGAAACATCAGATATGGGAAAGCAGTGTTCCCGCCAACATCACCCTCCCCCATGAATTTGGAATCTTGTTTCATTTGACATTTTTTCTCTTGCCAACATTTTGTACTTTTCCATGTCTCCATCCTATTCCCAATGTTTCAACCACCCCCGGGCTGCCATCTTTAAAAACATACACTGCAATATCTATATATAAAAGTATTATGTGGTAAACGTTACACTAGTAGAATGTTATATGTCAATTATATTTCAATACAACTGGAAAAAAGAAAAACATAAAAAACTATATTTGGTCCTGTTGCCCATTTGACTAGTGTTAATTTCATTGAACTTAGGGACTGAAAAATTCCTTAGGACTCTCTTAGTCCAACTCTCTAGTTTAACAAATGAAGACAATGAGGCCCGGGGAGGTAAAGAGATTTGTGCAAGGTCATCCGTTTCCTTTGCCTTTCCACTGGCTGATGCTTTTCCTTGGAATTCTCATCTCCGGCTCTCATGGCCATGTCCTTCACATTGGCCAAGTCATACATCAAATGTCACCTCCTAAGACCTGTCCATACCCCCATTCTACCTTTGTAAATCTTTAAGTTGTATGGACTAGAACCAATCGTACTGAAATGGCTTTGGGGAAAAGAGGATTTTTAAACCAGCCCCATCGCCTTGGCATGTTTTCTGCCTACGTTATGTATGATGTGTAAGTCTAGGATAATGTGTTGCTTATCACACCTATTTTGTACTTGCCTTAGATTCATGGGTGACCCAAATCTCCCTTTTCTGCAAGTACATAACTCTCACTGACATCAACCAGGGTCACAGTCCCAAATTTAGGGATGAACTGAACTGACTGTGGTTGCAAACACGTGTACGTGGCCATGTTGAAAGGCTTCTCTCATCAAATAGCAACCATATTTCTAAGCAGTCTGTTGACTTCAGCACTTTTTGCTATTATTGTGCTCCAATTTAGAATGCCAGCCCGTCTCACTGGAGCATTTTTCCATTCTCTGTCATAAACCATCGCATATAAAATTCCCCCTTTATCAAACCCGATGGTTAGTTTCCAGTGGCTAACCACGGCTGCCTCTGAAATGTGGCGTCTGTTTAAATGATCGCCTCAGAAACACCATTAAAGGCTTCGAAAAGCAATATTTAATGTACAGCAATATTTTTCTTAAGAAAGGAAGGGAGTAGGAAGAGGATCAAATACTAGACAGAGCAATGGCACAGCAAAAAAACTTCCCTACCACCTTCAATCACCCAAACAGAAATGCACACACTCACAAATGTGTGAAATGGCCTCTGAAGAGCCATTCTGGGCCCCTGCGAAGAAAATTATTTCCTTCTCCTTTCAAGCTAATAAAGCGATGTGAATCACTGTCAGGGCCCTACCTCATCCTGCCTCGTTTTCTAGTTACTTCCCTCTTCCACTGGTCTAGAAACAACTTGGGACTCCTGACGCCCCTTTGTGTTCATGGCCATGTTAAGTAGAGTACACTGAACATAGTAGGTGCCCAATAAATATACACAGAATCGACATCTAAAGGCACTTGTCATTTCAATGCCTAGTTATTTACAGAACAGAGATTCCAGCCGGCACAGTTTCTAGTAGAAAGTTATTACTTAACAAACATCTTCCTCCAGACAGCTCTCATTTTTACTTCATAGGATATATCAGTACCTGTACCTCTTTATCCCACATCTGTTTTGGTTTAAGCAACGCGGGAGAAAAGGAGACATTTTTGCGTATGTGCTTATTATATAGTATTG